CTCGTCCTCCTCTATTCGAACTTTCTTGGTTTCAACAAATACGGATTTTTCAGATATCCTGACAGTTTCCTCTTTGAAGTTTGAACATGCCGCAGCTCGCTTTGGCCTCTTGCAAGTGACTTTACCATTTTCAAGGTTGTTATGAGGCTTTTCACTTGCCACCGCTGCTTTAACCATTTTAGCGTCATCTGTTACTTTCCTTTTTGGTGGTCTTCCTTTCCCATTCTTTTTCATTTCTGAAAACAGAAGTAACCCTTTATTTCAAGGGACTCAAAGGATAAAAAAGTTAATTTTAAATACCACTTCACAGATACCAACTGTAGAAGTAAAATGATAAATGGAGGGGTGGAAAAATAATTTACTATTAGTAACCTTGAGAAAATTAGAAGACAACATATATTGTTAACAGAATGAAATGAAATTTAATCAGTATTATACCTCTTGCAAAGAGTGAATCTCAAATAAAGGATATGATGTAGTAGAAGAATAAAAATGGAACACATTACATGGAATAATCAACAATAGCTGAAACTTCTAACAAAAAAGAATGAAAAGAATTAAGCTTTTGGTGATTAGAAAAATAATCCTAAAAGATAAAGTTAAATTAATATTAAACAGCATACTCCTCCAATTAATGTCTGAAAACATTGTTATAAAGAGTATGGAGTATGTAAAGATGTAAAATATACAAGATACTGGTAAGTAGTATTCTGTAAATTTTTTATTTGATTGCATGATAAAGGAAATGCAGGGGCCAGACAGAACAATACTGACATACAGTAGATCCTAAAAGGTGTTAATCAGGGACTATGATAAGTGTAGTAACAAAGAGTACAAGTATGCATCATATCGGCAGTATATCATGCATGAAAACCCACTGTGTCTGTTTGTTGCTTTTCTTTCAGATAAAACAGAATGTCTGATTGCATTATAAAGTGGGATGCTTAGAGAGTAGATCTTAAACAGGAAGGCCGCCCTTTTGTGTCCCAGGTGACGAGGGTTTAATTTATGAAAAAAAAAAAATCTATTCTTAGACATAGGCTGGGTACATTTACTCTTCCCAGACCCCACATCGACAAGAACCTCATGTACTAGATTCACCTCCTCTTTTAGTGGGATGCTTAGCTAACTTTAAAAGAACCATGCCCACAGTTGAGAACTGTTTTTCACTTAAGTTGTATGTCCATCCACTCCATTAGTCATTGTTTAAAATTCAAAACTTCATGAGAGAACAAAAAGTTCTGATAGAATGGATCCAATTCCAATGTAACCATGTGCAAAAGATTAAATATGCCAAACTGATTTTGAGATCTTTAAATACTGGGATGCACCCAATTCCCAATCTTTCCTTGGAGAAGAAGGTTAAATTGGACTTGAATAGAAATGATAGGAACGTAGTATGATCTATAAAGTTGTGGGCAAAAATAATAGCACCAACACCACATTTGAAGCGAGAACTTGCTTGGTTCATGTTTTATGAACCAAATTCTGGAAATTGTGGCTGTATGCAGTTTAATTAGCCCAACATGGCTTTAATCTGGAGTTTAATGACACATGGAGCATCCAAAGAAACAACTTATGGTCCGATGCATTACAAGATTTTCATATTTTGATCCATGAATACAGAAGCCAGATGGATTTTAGAGGAAGCAGCATTTTGTTTTTGCTGAAATTATTCATAGCTAAACCTAGTTCTAAACTTGCATGCACAGCAGATGAGATAATAATTTGAGTTTGGCCACTCATGGTCTCAAACATATACAATGAAATTACAATCCTAGCAAATGCAAATCATGCAATTTACTGGCATATGTAATGATCTTGGCTTATTGTAATCCTTTGAATGACAACAAAGTTTATTTGGTAGGATAAGCTAATAAGCAATCATGCTTTAAGCTAGATATGGATGTCAGTAATGACATAAGCAAAAAATTCAGGAACAAAGGTCAAAAAAGGTCACATGATTGGAAACGAGTAACAAATTAGATAAAAAGCAGTAAACTAAGAATAAAAAAAATATGAAATTCATATAAATCCCATGTTTCACACCTTTTAGTTAGTTTTTTTTTTTTTCCTTGCATTCAAAGTTATACCAACTTTTAATAAACAACAGCATGGACTCAATAGAGCCATTAGCTCTATTGAGGGCATAGCATTGTCGTATGCAGAATGTATGGGGCAAACAATTTGATGACATGGCAACAGATATACAGTAAACAGAAGATGAAATCTAAAGCAACCAAATGCAATTCATTTGGACTAAACAAGTCACTGTCACAAAATAGTTATGAACAAAGGATCTTAATAGCATTTTTGTACTAACACAAATAATAATATATCAAGATGTCCATGCTTTCAACATGAAGACCTATAAAAAGTTAAACCATCTACAGCCTAGAATTTTCATTTGGAAATTCATCACATTAATGCACATAGAAAACTTAGAACAAAAATTATTTCAGACACGAACCTGTGGAATCTAAGCCTATCAGTTCCCTTGCCATAACCCAGCTGTTCAGTTGCTTTTTTTCAAAACCCTCAATCTGAAACCATAAACAAGAAAGGACATTAAATATAAGGAATAAAAGAACAAAAAATGCACACAAAAGATCCTAAAGTTGCTTCATCTCAACATACCGCTGTATAGAAGAGATAAGTTTCATAAACATAGCTCAGAATTTTTTTTTTAATTTCAGGTGTATGTTTTACACACAATGAATAAATGTATAGATGGTGTTTTTGTTAAATATATAACAAAGAGGGTGGGGTCCTTCAGATATTTGATACATGATTTACCTGATATGTGAAAAACTTTCACGAAATCCAATGCAGATTTAAATAACATGTACAGTAAAAATCATCCAATGAGAACCCATCAATTGCTTGAAGCCATGAGGAAATTGCAAATATACAAAAGCTAGATATAACTTCTATTAGCAAAATAGCAAATTGCAAAAGCTTTAATATGCATGTGAGACATTTATGAAATCGTTTCAGTGAGACATTTGAAAAAACCATGGCATGAATACAACAGACAGTAAACATTATGAGTAATTATTTGCTTCCAGGCAAAAAGACAATCCTAAATACTAAATTGTGACCAGTCTAGATAAAACCAATAAATCAACGAATTTACTAGGATGGATTACTTTGGTAAACTACAAAGTTAACACTAAGATAATTTAAACTTATGATTATATTTTTCAGATTATATGTTTTTCTAAGCTGAAACTAAGCTCATAAGCTAACAAGTAAAAAATCCAAAGGTAAACAAACTTATAGTTGACATGAGAGATAACATTTTTCAAACTGTATATGTTAGCTTTCCAATGGATTATTGGTTCCAAGAAGTTAATCGTAAAACCCTTTTACCGGGCACATAACTTTCCCGATCCATGTTAGCATGCACAACCAACATTCACGAAGCTTCCGCAGAAACACAAAGGGAAGGCCAACTATTAAACACACTGCCATCTTTTCTTGTTGTGTTTTAACCATGATCTTATGGTAAAGACAAAACTAAAGCCACCGCATGGTCTTTTATATTTTCTTATACAATAAACACACATCTTTTTTTTGGGCCGAACCGACAAAAAAAAAGATTATCAAACCCTAAAAACCTCTCCGAGAGGAACCCTAATTAGCTCTCGCACACGATAACAAAATCCCAGGTACAGGCGTAGCTCAGCTTGGAGACGAATGCGAAATCAGATGTAATTAGAGAGAGAACAACTCACACTGGGAGGAGGAAACGAGGCTACGAGCTCCAGGATTGGACCGATCGGACAGGAATTGATGGAAGAGGCAAAAAAGGGGAGGCTTATAAAGAGGAATGAGAGTGGCGGGGAGGGGAAAGGGAGCGAATCGTGTTTGCGCGGGAGGAGTAAATTTCGAAACGACAAGGAAACAAGAGACAGAGAGAGAGAGAGAGAGAGACAGAGAGAGGAACCCGGAAATGTGGTGGTGGGCTGGTGGTTTCCTCCAAGGCTAAGGTGGTGTTGGGAACTCCGACTTTTACTACACCGGGCAAATGTGTTTTTAGTGTAGAGGTAAGAATAATGAGTGGGACGGTGAGGTTACCGGGAAAATTGCTGATGGAATTATTGGAGGGATAAATTCTATCAAATTCAATGGACACCTTCTTTCAATGGATGGGTTAAATTGAATTACAATGATTCTATACGAGAGGATCAAGTTAGAATATTATTTTGCTCTTCATAATCATTTGGATAATTTAGTGTTATTGATGGTTTGTAGAAGGTGGCACTGGATGGATCCCCAAATGTTCATATTGAATAAAATTCTTTTATTCGGCTTGCACAAAAGGATCCAAGTAATTGGGTCCTTTTTCTAATTTTATGAATATGTATATATATAATGTGGATCTATATATAAACATATATATATATACTCTCTCACATTTACAATTGGCTATCTTAATTTAAAAAGGAATAATCATTAGTTTTTCTTGAAGAGGAGTAGCCCTCTTGATTGGATACTTTATTCTTATGCTTTAAAGTTGTTTTTGTGCATCAACAATTAAGTAATAAAATTTTATATTTTTATTAAAAAAAAGAATAGGAGTATACATGTAATGTTTGACGATATCACTCGTAAAACCAAGTGAATATATATCATATTGAAACATCATATTTAATATAATTTATTATCGACTTAGTTTTGTCTCATCCTTTTTACACACTCGTATAAGAATAGTTTTATTATAATCTTATGATTATCGCCCCCACATATAAATTAAAAATTGTACAAGATAATAGAACAAAATACCGCAAGGCAAAGATGAATAACTTATACCAAAATTTATCACAAAAGTGAGAAATTATCTTTCAATAGATAATTCTATGTTGCCCACTTGACAACCAATATCAATCACCGAGGACAACTTAACATCTAATTAAGTAGATCATGCATTGACAATTAAACATATATATTATCAATTGACCTCAACATTTTTGGTTTGTACGAAGTCTTCAATCTCATGAACAATCTATAGCTAGATTATTCAAACAATAAAACCAAACTACAATTTGATCAAGGTCCATCAGGTCAATAACTCAAAGAAAAGTCAAAAAGTTTAAGCAATGCAAAGATTAATTTCAAGTGCACATATTTGAAGATGATTGCAACTCATTAATGAGAAAGTCACACGATTTCCATTTAACGAAAGCTTTCCGTATTCCATGGTTTTCTGCAACACTAGCATTAGTCAGCAAACTAGTGAAACAACCAATTTCCAGAACCCTGCAACCAGAGATTGAATAGATGAGAGCATCAGCAGCAGCCTCGTTGATCTAAAAGTGGTATTAAAGAAATTCTTTAAAAAATATATAATGAACATTTTTTAAGTAAATTTCACAAGGATGTCTGGTTATGAAACTAATAACACAATCTCACCGATTTAACACATTGGCTTGTTTAAATATGATTAGTTGTATAATGAACTGAGCTTGATAAAATAAATTAAATTTGAAATATTATTCATGAAGAAACTTACAAAGGATAGCTAAATCTAAAATGATCTCATCTATGATTGAGAAAAGCTCAAGGGAGCTTATTTAAGTTCAAACTTCAAACCATAAGGAGGTTCACAAGCATTTCATGTAAAGGCTGTCTTCACAATTATATGCTTCAAGTTAATGTTACCACACTGGCTAATCTAGATTCATTCATCTCTTAGAGATAAAGATTATCTATATCGACTAATAAGCAAGAATTATTTTTAGTCAATATAATAAACAATTGGATGTGCCAGATAGATTGTTTTTTTTCTTTATGTATGTTTTTTGAGCTTATTTGGACCAATGATGCACTAGCTAGGCAATAATAAAACTTAGTTCATTGATTGAACAGCTCGAAAACTCATCTTTGAGCTCAAAAGAAGATACATAAAGTTAACTCACTCATTTTAAGATCCTACTAGAGTGCTTCTATCGTAAATACTGCTGAATTCAAAAGCAATATAATTTGGCAATAAACTTTTACTTTTAAATTTTGCTAGGAAGAGCTGATAACTAAACACCTCAATCGTGCATATCTGGTAGATGGTTACCTATGGAATCAAGCTCCAATAAGGCCTTTGTAACGGGCATAAACTAGAACAACAACAAGTATAAGTCCAGATAATAGTCCTCCAATACCAACCACCTGTTTGACGACGAGAAAAATATTTGTAAGACTTCAAAAGGTTCATATATCAGTTAGTAAGATTGTATATGCTAGTCAAAGATGCCTACCCAACTGAAGACGTATCCATGGTTGTCATTCCATGAATATGGGATGTTCATGCCAAAAATCCCACCCACCAATGAATAGAATGTTAAACTAACAGTGCAAGCACTTAAAAATAGTTCTAACTGCAGAACAAATAAGCAAGGTAATAATAAGTTAGAAGAAGATACAAACAAAGTAGCAAGGTAAATAACACATGATTAAACAAGCCAAAAAACGAATTCTTAAGAGAAAATGAAAACTGTGTTTAGTGAGGCCAGAAAAATTCAATAACCCGAAGATATCAAAAGAAGCTATAACCTGGATCAGCTGATTCCGATGGTTGTCAAGCTGCAAGAGTTAAAACTCGAAATCAGAAGTTATAGGAAAAAAAGAAAAACCAAAGTATAGTACTTTAGGTTCATGAGATGTTCTATAAATCTGTAAGCTACCTGAAAATTGATATAGTCCTCTGTGTCATCAACATATTCACGTAGCTACATGAAAAAAATAAAAGAAAATATCAGAAACATAAAAAAGATTCTTAAGAAAAAGCTAAGAGACAATAACAACAAATGACAAATTTTTTTCATTTAAACACCAGATTTGAGACAAAACTGAGGAAATCTGAAAAATCCCTTGTAATGTAGCAAAAAGAAACAGATACTTCGGTTCTTTTTTGGTTAAAACATGGAGCCACTTTTAAAGGATCAACTGTGAAAGGTGATTCTTAAAAGAATAATAAAGATTCAATATAAAGTAATGAAAATACAATATTTGGCTTATGTTTAAGAATATGATTCCTTATTAGTTCTTCACCATTTTAGGCTAGTTGAAACTTGAATACACACCATATATAGGAACAGAGTAGAATATAAGGAGACATCTTTCATCTGTATCCCTATAAATTTTAAAGGATGTTTTTATTAAAACAAATTATTTTATCATAAATTTCAGGGTGTTAGCCCATGAGGCTTCCACCAAAGGAAGGTGATACAAGGGTGAGAGCAAGTAGATGTAACTCTGAGAAATGTACATATTGCAAATATAACTTCCTAAAAATACACATGAAGTTTCAATCTGTAAATACAAGAATTTTCTGCAGGCACAACCATGCATTTTGTACTCACTCAAGTTCAACTTCAATATGATGGCATCTAGGAAGACCCTAATATATAAGGAACCTCAAATATGCTTTGTATTTTGGACATATAAAGTAAATTAGCTTCATGATTCATAAGGAATATCCAAGGAATGAAAATCTAGTTGAAGAATATAAATCATCCCACTTCAACTTGGAATAAATCTAACATAATTCATCCCCGTCGTAGAATGATAGTTTGCAGATATTAGTCAGAATGATATAAACACATCAAGGAAGAAAAGTAATAATAGAGGAAATCATAATATCAAATCCAATTTCCATGAGTCAGTTTAGTCATACAAGACTCTACTGCCAACTTTACCAATATATCTGCCTAAATTTTACACGCTTAAACACACAATTCAATACTTCCTTGCAGACAGAGAATCCATAGTTCATTCTGAATTTATATTCCACATTTGAAGAAATCCTTACTGTGTTCAATCTGTTCAAAGAGCCATCAATCTGTATAAAATATGCCTGCAGCAATAGATGATTGCACATTTTAAAATTGTGTTAGTGGAGAAGCTTGATTTTTCAAAAATGCATATAAAAACAGGTGTGATAGAACTTTTATTATAACCTCCAGTAACATCTCTAGTTCTTCCACATTATACTCGTTCCCATGAAGTGTTGCTACACTCGTCCTGCTTACTCTAGATGTTTTTGAAACCAAAACTGGTGAGTTGGGTGCTAAGTCAGAAACAGCCGAGTCAACCAAACATGGAGATTCTGTGGCCATCTTTCTTGATAGGTAAAGATCAGCCATGTCATTGTCATCATCCAACAGCCGTTCAAGTTCATCTCTTACCTGCAAGTAATCAATGAACAATTGAAACAAGAAATAATAATAAGTTAAAAGATAAATTGTTAAAATAGTTTCATGCAATTTGTAACTTCCACTTGGAGCCTTGCCTGTCATTATGCTTGTTATTTAAATAAAGAAATGGAAGAAAAGCACAGCACTAACTGATTTAAAAAATATATATATCTGTCATGCCAGTTGCTCTAATAATAGATGTATAGATGAGACAGTCCCGTGTTGATGGAAGCAGCATTTTTTGTCACTATGGTTTTCTAATATTACATCTATACAAAAGAAAAGGCAACAACAAGAGTTATTTAAAGTTATAAAAGTTATACAAAGTTCAGCTTGAGGACAATGTCAGGTAGATCATGATGGCAGAAGAGAACATACTGATTTTCTTAGTTCTAGCACTTGCATTGATTTCGAGTTGAGACCAAAATGAACAACAAAATATGACTTATTACATCTTGACCAACATATAGATTTTTATTTTACCATCTGATGGATATAATTGGCATGGGCTTCTGGATTTAGATTCAGGAGATCTTGTGGACATGTTCTAAATAGTCTTATTGCATGCATAGTGACATGGCAATTATAACTAGGAAAAGCTTCGTTTAAGTTCAAACTGTGGCAATGCTAATGCCATAATAATGCATTAGCTGCAATTTGAGGAGATAGACACTAGATTATAAGTATTGAAAAGTCAGTTTCTGATACAGCATTGTAACATCAACAAGAAATTCATGAAAAAGTTGCTCTTAATGTTCATATTTTGTTCAAAAAGGAAAGAAACATGATTCAAACAGTTAAATATATTATCTCAAGGAAAAATAAAACTTTGGACTGCAAAATGAGAACTATGTACTGTATCCTGGTGATGCACAATAAGTAAACATAACCATAAGTATCAAGAGATGCATGTCATAAAGGACATTAAAAAGTGATTTTCTTAGTGAACCAAAACTTGGAACTGCATGGATAAAAGGAGGTGATATATGCACCTTCTGGACACGAGCAATCAACCTTGTCATAGCACTCTTCAGCTTGCGGACCCTATCTAAATTGCGGCTACATATCTGTATGGGGTGTTTATAGATCATTACACAAAAGACAGGGTCAAAGCATCATATAAAGAACTAATACAGAAACAAAAAGTGATGCTTGTTATTATTTCTAAGAATATGTGATAATTATGAAAAGAAGCACATTATCATATCAATAATGATGAACTCCAAAACTTATATTTTTGTTCTTAAATTATATAATTTGCTAAGATCAGTCCATTCAAGGATGCTGTAAACAAAGTATAAAGGAAATAAAGATGAGGAAAATAAAAAATGATGAGTACAACTAAGCATAATTGTATTCAGATCATATAGAAAAAAAGGAAAACAACCTATTTAGAGGGCAGTGTGGTTGAAATAAATGGCCAGAAAAGTTTCTCGACCAAAAGCAAATCAAAATTTGAAATTGAGTCCCTATAATTAAGTCTAACCAAGTTGTTTAAAGTCAAGGTTCGCAATACCGTACCGTACCGGTATTTCGATTTGGGCTCGGTACTGGTACGGTACGGTATACCGAGCGGTACACCCAGGTGTGCCGAGTACTGTAGTACTGCTGCGGTGTACTCGGACCGGTACATACCGCCCGTACCGGGCAGTACGGTTCGGTACGGCAGACCCTGTTTAAAGTACATCTTGTCTTAATTATATTCGGTGCAATTGTTTAGGTAAGTAGTCAAATTAATTAGCATGAATCATTTTCTTCAGTTGAATCAATTTGAATTTATCAAATCAGGTTTAGGATATTTACTATTTAAAGAATATTTTTAAGTTAAATAAGTGGCTAGGTACTGTTTACTTTGTCTATGCAGTACTAGTTTTAATTCTACAAATCAAAAATATTTGCTGTTGTGGCACTTTAAGTAATCCAGTTACGATCCTTTCCTTAAAAAAAAAAAAAAAAAAAAACTAGTCACCAGCTCAAGTGTTCTTTTTTACCCACATAATCTATTTAAGAAGTGGAGGAATTAGTTGGACCCAGAACCTGCTAAACTTTATTAATAAGCTTACTGAGATGAAGGCAACATCAAATACTAATCACAATAGTAATATACTAATAAGTGAAATTTCTCCTTTTTGTTTAGGGAAAAAGGTTATAGCACAAAGAAGCAACATTGGCTAAGACTCATAAAATCCTAGTTGCTCCATGTTGATGTGAATGTTGGAAAAACAGGGAGGGTGAAAAGAAATTTAACAAAAAAAGGAAGGGAAAGCTGTAAAACAATTTAACAGTAAGAAATAAAGAATTTCCTGAATCATTAAAATAAAGTCAGCCAATGCATGAAATACTCATTAATATAGGTTTTGGGGAGGATCAATTTACACAACCTATATAAAAATGTGTACAATTATTTTGATCAAAATTTCATGCTACATGGTGATCATATTTTGCGTAAGACTGGCTAATTGATTTTCATAAAAAGGGTATGCAAAATACAAGGCTTCTGCCATGGGAGGATCGATATACACAATACTTCTCCACACAAGCAAAGGGACTGTTATATGACTCGAACATTGGTGACTAAGTTCCTAAAAAACAATCTTAATATGGCACCAAGGCTCACCCTTTGCCTAATTGATTTTCAAGTTAAACACAATTTATTATATACATTTAAAATGTCATAGGTAACAATACATTTGTAAGAACTCCCTAGCTATAGTTCAACAACTAATGAATAAAAAAGAGTCGAGGGGAATTTCAGGAAGTAAATGGCAAACCAAGCTTTTTAGTTACTCTATATACAACTTCTAACCAAATCTCCTATTTGTAACTTTTTATTGCTTAATTAGAGTTGGTGAGGACATGACTTTTAAATTGTGTGTGATGCTTTAATTAATAATTTATTTCCATGTCATAAAAGAATCATGCGCTTGTCGACAGGAACCAGTGCTTCTGCAAGTTTGTTCACTATGATAACTGATGCAATAAGGCAAATTTTAATTTTCTCACACAGTATGGCAGTGGAATCACAAGATGAACAAATAACAATTGTTTGTTCAAGTTACTGAGCAATTGATATTAGCATACATACCTTGGCAGTCAACTCATCTAATGCTGGATAAGCATCAATTTCCAATTCCGTTGTACGTGCATCAAGTGAGCTGCATATAGCTTCCAAAGCAACTTCTAGAGCACGGAACTCAAATGGAGACGCTGCATAACATTGTGCTCAGAACAAGTAATAGCTAATTGACTTGTTTACTTATAAAAGTAAGGAGCTTGCTTGAGCATCTTAGAAATCTTTGGTTGATAATAGGCTTTGTTTTTGGGAGAACATTGTAATCCTCCACATCTCAAAAGCATAAATCTAATTTGAAAACCTTTGATAGTTATTAAGCCATGATCAACATGTACATTTTGAAATTTATCATTGGGCACACATAATTGCAGAACATTACTTAGATAACCATTAGTCATACCTAATCAAAATCATGAAATGTGTATGCAATGTATGTAACCATATTTTTTCAGGATAATTCTATGGCATGTCAAAATCTGGTAACCAATCTAGGTTTTATTTTTTGTATGCTTTGTGCAAAAGATTAACATGTTATGTTTCAGTTTACTTCAATAAAAAGCAAAGAAAGCATATTCAGAAACTAAGCCAAAGAAGTGTCGTCAAAATTTTAACTCATGATCCTTAGAGGAAAAGGATAATTTGGAATTCCTTAATTGTTGGGCATATATGCCCTCATGTATATATGCATTCATGGGATGCCTTAGGGTGGCCTGTCAATCAAAATGAGAACGCCATCTGTTTCATCTTAAAGTCAAGTCACAGGCTGGCAAGCAACACCATCAGAATTAACCTTCGATGGAACAGACAATGATAAGGATCAGAAGCAAAATTAGCCTAGAACAGAACATATATTGCATATGTTTTGGATGGTTCTAAATCTAAAATAGCATCACAAAATCTTTGTAGCAATTCCTAAAGCACATTCCTGTGCAATTATCGAGCCCAATAAACTTTGCCCAACGAAGTGGGTAAAAGCTATAAGAGTAATATGAAGGATATATTTGCCCACCAGCTTCTTCGGCAGATTCTGCTTCATGCTGGCCTCTCCCTTCGCCCTCTGCTTGATGAGCAACACTAGGCGGTAGACGCCTATGAAGCTCCTCCACAACTGGGGTTACATTCTCTTCGGAAGGGTCTCTTAGCAATATCTGCGCCGTTAAAACAAGCAATTTCTAATGATTTCGGCTGCTTATGTCACACAAAATCGAACCCAGTTTCGATGTTATATCGAAACCACATAAAACAACCGTAAAAATCCCAGCTTTAAGCAGGAAAGCGTACCTCTTCCGCGGTGATGATCGCTTTAATATGCTGATTTTCTCAAAGATAAGAGAAACAAACAATCGCATTAGCGTCGAACATAAATAACATAAATATTCGGGAGGAGGTTTGAGGGGAAACCTCGAGATTGAGGACGATGGCCTTCTCCCTCCCCAGGATGGCGGAGGGATAGGAAAGCAGCGGGTCGATGATTCTCATATCCCGGGCGTGGATCTGCGCGCGCCGCATGATCTCGTGCTTGTCGACGTCCAAGACAATTCCGCGTCCGGTGCAATCCATAGAGATCCAGCTTCTCGCCCCCGTCGCCGCCGCCGCAGGCCTCCCGTCTCGACCCATCGCGTGGACGATGTTTCCGGCCGGCGGTGACGACCAGCGAAGGGGATCACATAGATTTCCAAGGTTAGAGTTCCGATTTCCTTCCTTTACGATCAATACATGGAGAAAGGAGAAGGTGGGCAGAACGAGGTGGGTTGGGTTACGGCGGGAGAGGAACCGAATTCTGGTTCGAGAAATATCTTTTATTGGGTGTACCTTTTGGCTGACGTGACGTCGTTTTTCGGTTCTCTCTTACACTTACCCATGCAGATACCCTCTTCTATGATTCGATGTATCCTCGGGCCCATCCATAAGTTTCCGAATCAAAATGCTGTAACCGAATTCTACACGTACGTATGGGTACTTGCTTCACGTAGGAATTTGATACGGTATCTCCAATGTGACGCGTGCTTGGAGATATATACGTGATGACGTGTGTTTGGGTCGTTAGACAATACAGGTTTTATGGCTTTCCTATTGATCAGACTGACACTGACCCACACTTCAAGCCATCGGAAGCCTTCTTTGTATTGTTTGCTGCAATTATCGAGACACAGGATGGGTGATGCCCCCTGCGTCGCATAAAACTAGAAACTAATAAATAACATATTTATGATCTCTTTCTATTGAAAAATAAAGAAAAAGAAAAATATCATAATCTATTCTCAATGTAAAAACAAATTCTAATTATTTTGCTCTTCATTCATCCAATTCTGAGTCGTTCATGGTTTCTTTTCAATTTATTTTAGATTAGTCGTTAATTGCTTGATTGGAAACACAAATTAGAGGTTAATCAGCGACTAATGTTTTTGGATCAACGGCTAACAATTTAATGTGATGTATAAGTAATATTTGTTGAGATTGATAAATATTTTTTGAATTAACGTCACTAGATGATAAGGAATTTAAACATGAAAAATATGTAGATAAATGCAACAAATCAAGATGTGGCCATTTCTTAAATATTAAATCTCTAAACTTTGATGGGAAATTATACGGAGTAATACTTTGAGCATTTATAAGATTTCTCACTATCATATCTAAAAAATGATAAAATTTTCGAAGATTTATATGAGTGATATACAAAAGTTCTAAGTTTGGATTGATTTAACTATAAAAACTTATAATATATTCTCATATGTTTAAAATTTTACCTTTTATCCTTGAAAAATCTCATGTTGATTATTTTCTGAGTTTATATTTTTTTATTATTTTTTCTTAATTATTCTCTTAGTCTCAAGATTTGCTTCCCCTAAGTAATTTCTAACGATGCCTTAGCAAGTTTATTTATGATGGGGAGAAAAATTAAGCATTAGCTCAAATAGATTGGTTGGAAGATTTGGCTTTTTACACTTACCACATAAAATTTTGAGAATCTAATAATAGTCTAATCGAAGAATCTCATGTAATGAACAGCGCACTAATAAACAACTTCATTGAGTAAATAAAATGCAATCCTCGACAGCAACAAATTTACGTAGCATATTCTGAGACATAATAGCAATACAGAAACACACGGACACATGATGCTTGCTGCAGATCCAGCGACAACGCCTTCTGTTGGCACTTTGACTTTGATGAAGGATCAGAGACCACATCTCTTGATTCCTCAGCTTCTGTTCTTACATTTCTCCATGCCTCTTGGTGCTGCAGTAAGCGAGGAGAAAAGTGATCGATTGTGTTGGAGAGGTAGGGAAGTTGAGCTACGAGGTGGTGCAATGAAACGTGGAGATATACTGACCAAGTCCAACAGCTTCTGATCCTTTCATCAAACGCAAACGCTTGCATGATTCGACAAACATCCTGGGATCGGTTTAGAGAAGATCATGAGTAATTACTAGATAAAGCTGGACGTTGATCGTTTGATGGCCATGAGAAACAAATGAAGGAACTTACTCCCACGGAACATCACCAACAAGCATCCAGTCGCCATCTTTGTCTTCGTAGGTCGACACGAATTCAGAACCGGTTATGAGATCCACCAGCTTCCCCTCGTTCATGGAGTCTCCCCCATTCGTTCCTCGAGACCCACAGCTCGATGAAACTGGGAAAGACACAATAGGTAATATGAGTCCAAACTGAATATAGAAGGGTGCATCCTTGTTTTGGCCTTCTTTTCGAGGTTGAAACAGGCAGACGTTACTGACGCAGTTAAATGTCTAGCTCTGAGGCATATAGATTATATGAGAGACGAAAAGGAAAAGATAATATCCATACATACATACCACTGGTGAAGGAGCTGAACATCTTCTGCAAGGCCATGGAGAGCTCCTGATAGCTTCTGTACATTTTTAGGTCAACTTTACGTAGATAAGGTGCCCCATCCACGCTAACCTTGACAAAGGCCGCCAAGCTGCCTGCAGGTCTTTCTCCATCTTCTTTACTCGGCTTCTCGGATTGGACAGCCAGCATGCTCCTCCTATGTGATCTAACCGGTGGCCAACCCACAACCTGTGCCCTGACAGTAATATGGCACACAACAAGTTCCTTGAGTGGTTCAAGAATTCCTAACAGTTTCTTATATACTATAACCCTCTATTCCTACTTGTGGAAAGATCAAGATGATCTTTCCCTGTGGAGAAGTTGTTTAGAATGAACAACTTTGCCAAGAAGATAATAACATCAAAGCATGTTTTGTGGTGGTTGGATCTGTAGGTCTTAAATGGTCTCAGATATTGCCTCTCTGTTTGTCATTTTGCACAAAAAGTTGTATGTTTTTGCTTATGGCAAAGCTGAAGCGAGTACAAATTCTGCAGCAAAAATACCATAAAAATCTTATATGCTCACAAAGAACAGCCATATACAATTAATCATTGGATGATAGGTTAAGAAGGAATTGGAGGTGTGATAACATACTTTGTTCATTGAATAACATATCTACCATGCTTCGATGTACTTTCTGAAAATGACTGGACCAAAAGTAGCATAACAGATTGTAGTAATTTGGAGAATGTATAATCTACTGGATTTCTTTTCATGCAATATATGAACAAAAATTTAGTGAAAAACAAATTTGTAGATTTTTTTGGGGGTCAAATATGTAAATTTAAATCATCATAAAAAAAAAAGAAAGAGGAAGAAAGAAAATGGTGAACATACTTCGGAGCAGGAGGCTTCTCAGGGTCGGTGGCGGAAGCCGCAATGCTCATCTGGCTCGGAGATCTCTTCATCTTCAAGGCCGCCGCCATGTCTTTCGTGTCTCCCGCTGCCTGAAGCTTGAGCTTCAAGTCAATGGTCTCCGCGAACGCCCTCTTCCCTGAGTTCTTCCCGACATCGCCTTCTCCTCCACTGCCGCCACCCGGCAATCCCAGGCGCAGCTCGGTCTCCTGGAAGCCCAAGCTGCGCTCATCCTTCTCCCCAGCCAATGAACCAGTCGCCATCGCAACCCACTCCTTCTCTCCCAACCTTCCAATAGAGTCGTATATATCTACAGATAATGAGGGAAAGCAGCAACTATAGCCGAGCTGCTATGGTCGGTCGTACGTCCAAACCACGGCAAAGAAAAAAAGCCGACACGTGTTGCACGAGGGCAGACAAGCGAGGCGCACTGGTTCCGGGAACGCGCCCTCGTCCCGCTCGGGGGCGGACGGGGCCCGCGCTGCCTTGCCGATTAACTAGTCCACGCGTCCCGACCAACGAACGGCTGAGAACGGCCGAGAATAGTGGACGGTGGATGTTTACTGTGTGTAGGGGCAGAAACGGGTCAATAATAAAAATAATCTTATTTAAAATAATACTATGTTTAATGAAGACCAAATACTTATGCTTTTTCACTGATATTTTTATTGACAATATGAACAAACAAACGTGTCATCTATGATGAAGCAATAACTATCGAAGTATGCTTGAAATATGCTATTAAGAGTTAATTTTGCTAGGCAAATGGCTAATATTTTATTTAACCATGACTTTGAAACATCATGATCGATCTCTTCTAGTTAGACATACACATCGTTGATTCTATTGCCTCGTTCTAGTAGACACAAGCTGACCATCAACTCGTTCATCTCAATTTAAAATACTTGTAAATCGTTTGCAAGTGATCTACTTGCAAACGATCAAAGAAACGACTCGATGCAAACATAATTTGCATCATTGCTTTTGTACAATTCACATATAAGTTGTATCAAATTGGCACGAGGAGGAATGTCTTGAGTGTTTTAATGGGACGACAAGTTTGGCTTTTCATGGAGTACTTGTGATGGTGGATGGAATAGAGCTATTATGTAAGCGGATGGTAGCAATTTTCTAGTTATGTAAGGTTGGTATGTGCTTTTGGGTCATACAAGCCCCATAAAATAACTACATTTGTTGCTTGAAGGGCAAACAACAGCTAGAGTATAGATCAAAACACCCCAAGTTGAGCTGTTTTGGTTGAAGTTCCTAATTCCTTATTAACACATGAACAACTTAACTTCGTCGTCGTGTCCACGGCTCTCCTCATAGGTGAAGACATTGCATCCTTATGCTACTTTAGCCACAAATCACGTATTAGATCCAACAATACTAGAATTAATGACATTCATTTTGTCAACATCTAACCTCTCTCTCTCTCTTCTGAGTAGTCTCAACAGCTAAGCTATAGCTAAAGATTTGGTGTTTATAGGAAGATGTTGGCTGCCATCTCGTTTCCGTGTATGAATGACACGCAAAGACATTTATGTGCCGACATACGAAAACACACGAACATGCGGTGTGCTGATACATATATATGTAGACATAATATATGGACACATAAAGAGTCACGCATGAACAGATAAGAGCAATAATTTGAGCTTCAACATGGACATCAAATAAATAAGATGGTTTATAGGACAAAGACTTTGCACTTTAACAGCACTACTTGAACCCTCAACGAAAGCTCCATGGACAGCACACGTGCATGGGACAGATCACGTGCATGTTGACATGATGCTGCATGCCTCCTCTCAATTGTTCCTATACCTCACTTGTATATATCTCCTCTCCTCTATGGTTGGTCAGTAGCACAGGATACGCGTTGCTCCCGTTTGAGGCATGCATGGTTACACGTTGCATCATTCTATGGCATGCAACGTGTTCAGATCCATATAAATATGGCTAGCATTTGTCATTTAATAGATTTATCATTTAATATTGCAACTTCGTTCAGATCCTTGTAAATATGGCTAGCATTTGCTGCTGCAAAATGAACACAGAATCGAACGGCAAATCGATCCCACATGATGTGAATACAACGATGTCGACACTGAAGTGACATCGAATGCAAAGTCGAAACAGTGCATACGGTGTTTACATCTCAACATCCGGCTTTATTTTGACGTTTTGACCTCTCATTCTCTTGATAAGGTTTATAGAGGCCAATTCGAATTTTACTTGCTCGACTAAGGGGTTCCTCTATCCAACCTATGCGACAAGTCACCTGGTAAACTCGATGTAAGAGCTCAACCTTGCGCACATATGATAGAGTTCGATCTTTACTTAGCTTAAGTTATCTCTCTGAGGTACTCAAACTGAGTTGATTTTAGCATCCTTCTGATGGTGTCAACGTTATTTACCATTCACTAGCTTTTGGTCCTCCTCTCGGCCGTGTGCATGGTTCCTCCATCTCCTACTCATCCAACCTCTCATGGAGTACAGTGGTTTTGATAGCATGAGATCGATGATATTGACTTCCAAGGCAGAAAAGCAAGAGAGAGAGAGAGAGAGAGAGAGAGAGAGAGAGAGAGAGAGAGAGAGAGAGAGAGATCAAATGTAGTTGAACACATGCATATATACATCTCTTTCAGATGAACTGGAGGATGGTCAATTGCCTGCATCGACTTGGTGTAGCTTCCTAGGTAGCTTCCACTCCATTGTATTGAACTACCGAGTATGGTATGGTGTCCATCTGTCCACTGCTGTAGTCGTGCGATTGTGTTTTCGACGTAGACATACTAAATCCATAAAAAATCCAGACATTTTACGTGGACGTATTGTGTACATAGGGTGCAAAATGGACATAGATGAAGATCACTATAAGCTCTTGATAGTAGTAGACAATCCACATCTGCTAAATCAATATCTTAATCACCTCCTTGCATACACTTAGCATTCATAAACACAACTTGCTTAGAATATGTTATTACAAAAATAGCTGTGACCTAATGCATCATAGTGATGGGAAACTAACTAGCAAATGGGGCATAATCTTGTACTATTTTCTAGTTAATTGACACAAAAGATTCTCTTAACATGTTTAGAAAAGCAGAAAGGAAGAAAAGAAGACTGATGATTTGATTTAGGAGATGCTTAACCCTATCAACCACACATAACAAAACAAAGCACTTCTATGTGCAAGTCTTTTAGCTTTATACCAATAATTACATGTTATTTTGCCTACCGACCATTTCCTAGCGTCTCATGTGCTCCTCCAGTATGTTATGAACCAAGCAATTCGACGGACGAGATCTTTCCCGCACCGCCGTTGGAGCAATCCCGGCCGCACGATCCGGGCCCGGTCGTCCTCATGCATGTCCTCCGTCCAACCGACCGCGGTCGCTGTCGATACCCCCATCTCTCGTGCAAGAAAGCTTGCCATTGCTTTCATATTGCACTATAAATCTGTCTCCCTCCATGACCTTAAGAGCAAACACAGACCGACTCCTCTTCTCAGCAACTCCACACAGGCCCCGTAGAGTTTCCAGCAAGGTTAAGGGAAATGGAAGACATCAAGGGAAGCGACGGCCTCGGTGACACGGAGCTGCGGCTCGGTTTGCCGGGCACGTCGACGGCAACAAGGAGCGCCAAGCGAGCACTTCCCGAAGGCGACGAGGAAAGCCACGACGAGCTCCGACGAACCTCGGCGGCAAAGTAGGTTTTGCAGGGGTGGTTCTTCGCGGAGACCGGAGGAGGATGTGATGTGGTCTAGGCTTTGCTGACGGCTGCTTGTTGACATGGCAGGGCACAGGTAGTGGGATGGCCACCGATCCGGTCGTACCGGAAGAACAGCTTCCCGGCGAGGAAGGTGGAGGCCGAGGCCGAGGCCGCCGCCGGGTTATACGTGAAGGTCAGCATGGATGGAGTACCTTACTTGAGGAAGATTGATCTCAGTGTTTACAAGGGTTACAAGGAACTCAGAGAGGGCCTGAACAACATGTTCGAATGTTTCTCTTTAGGTAAGGGGACATAAATATGAGGTAGAACAACACAAGTAACACATCAGTATATAGCATGCATGATCGACATCTTTTATCTGTTGCAGGAGAGTTGTCAAGGAGAGAAGGAGGCAGTGGATCTGAGTATGCCATCACCTATGAGGATAAAGATGGAGACTTGATGTTGGTTGGTGATGTTCCATGGGAGTAAGTATCTGATCTCCTTCAGCATGCCAAGACCTTTGACACGTGTGACTTGTTTCTCATCCATTTGGTTTGATGTCTGCAGGATGTTCATCTCTTCCTGCAAAAGGCTAAGGATAATGAAAGGATCTGAAGCAAGAGGATTAGAATCAAGACAACATTAACAAGAGATCCAGATCGACAAAGAAGGAATGGAGATGAGAGATCTTGCTTCATGAGAGTAGATCATTTTTTGCTTGGAATTTATTTCCAAGTTCATGAGTCTCTTAAGAAAAGGAAGAACAAAAAAAATATAAAGAAGCTTGGGAATGCATCTGTCAAACAGCTCATCTTACAATCCTACAGCTTAAAGCCAGAGAGAGAAGAAAAGTGCAACACATGAAGAGAACATCTACAGGATTTGGTGTCACAATTATCCTGTAGGGATTTTTTATTTCAGCATGAGATTGTACAGAAGAATTTTGCTTGCTTCATGTCCTGAATGTGAAGTTACAGCCAACTGTTTCATGTCTCATCATCTGATGATGAAAAAGAGACAAATCGTGTTTGCAATCTCTCTCTCTCTCCCCTACAATTCCAGTGTCTTTATCTTTGATTTTTCCATAAATTTTATATCTAAATCATACATACATGAACTGCCTCCTTTGAAATGAGATGATATGCAACAGAAAGGTTAAGAAACAGACCCTCTAAACCACATCCTGTTAAAGTACACAAAACTATATCTTAAATAACAGAGATTTGCAGATTATGCACCAGTTTAGGAACCAATTTAAATGATGGAACCAGTAAATCTAAGGTCAAGCAACTGTGTTCTCCCTTAAATCCTTTTGACACTAGGATAATGGATGTGAAAGTGAAGGGAAGGCTCAGTGGCTGACAAGATCCAACACACATATTCTGTGAATGGAAGACAGGGAATCAAATTTCAGACAACTTATATGTCATGCACATGAATGAGAAGGATGTGTCCTCCATTTAACCACATAGACGGTGGCTGGAACCCACTGTATTCCATGAACATACACATTTAATTTCCAGAAACTTAAATAAGAGGCATTTGATCAAACTGGATGCTTAGGTGATGATTCATGTGGATTTACTTGAGGAAATTTGTGGACTGATGTGATCACAATAGTCAAGAAAGACATCACTGACCTGAATGAATAATCCAAAGTGACATATTAGTTCTTTTGGACAGAAAAAAAAGGTTTTTGCTTTGCAAAAACATTGAACACAAGTAGAGATGTCCACTTCACTATGTCAAAATTATGCACCCAAAGCATGCTGAATCTGAGTAAGCTATAATTCCTGGTGGAACAGGGGACCCATGAACACAGAGCTCCCAGAACCTGCATCATAACAACTGATGACTGCCAAAAGTTCCCCTTCTCTACATTGACTCTTGCTGAATTATGATTCTTAGTAGTCTAGGAAGTCTTTAATTGAAATAAACTTTGGTTAGCTTACTTTTGTTGCTCTGTTAAAAACATAAGCATGTTTAGTTAACATATCATTGTTTCACTATCCTAACTATATTTTGGCTTTGGTTGTTGTTCTGCAAATTACTACAAGCTCAAGTAGAGAAGCCAAATCCTAAAAATGATAGCATTCTGTCACTTGTATAAACAGAAACGAACACAACATATATGCATTTATCAAAGGAAAAGAGATACATGCACAAGATACTTCTACTAATTCTCTGAATTCATGCAAGTCAAGCAGAAATGTGATCCATTTGGTTCCTCCTAGCACTCTTCCATTAGCTTTTTATGGCTGACTTAAAGTCTTGTATTCAGATTTACAGATAATTGTGCAGAAACTTTCAAGCAAGAATTTTGCCTTTTTTCTTTACCACTTCAAGGTTCATATAATTGCCATTAATGTGTTGAATACATGAGGGTATGTGTTTAATTAATCTGACCATGATAAAAGTATTTTGATGGTGACTTTAACTAGAAAGAACTAAAAAATGTCTACCAAACTTGGAGGAAAAATAGGTCCCCAAAAAATTATATGATGTATTCACAAATACAACACAACACAAGTATCAGTAGCTTTGTCTCTATCTTTCATCAAAAAAAATATAATAAGCAGCCAGCATGAGCATGGAACTAACTCAGGACATGTAATCAAATTCCTCACATACTTCTCATGGAATAATGTGAAGCTTCTTCTCAAGACCTCAACTCATCAATATAATTTGTGGAATATTAGATTTTAACTAGTTCCCTATGGTCTGTCAATAAAAAACCTTAAAAGATTCTATCCAACAACCATGTTATTTTGACATGCCACCTCTCTGATTCATTTGGTGCCTCCATATCAACAATCAACATATTTACAGTAATTTACTGGTATATATGGCTGCATTGATCTATATCAAATAATGCTCAAGGTCCTTTGGAGCCTAAAAAATAATGAATTCTGTTCCCACTAATAATGCTTTCAGTATTAACTTCATGTGCTTCTCCCTATCTCATCCCCTTAGGGGTGTGAGACTTATGAGTTCTTTATATTTTTATAATTAATTAATATTATTAAAAAAAATAAAATTATTATCAAAAGTAATCAACATTCCCAAAATTATAAATAATAATAATTATTATAAATTTATGCATCATGATAATATTTAAATACAAATATAACCAAATATAATCGATTATAACCAAATAAATATAAATATACCTAATAAATCTATAAATTAATAATCTTATTTTTAAATTTTTATACTTATACATCCACATAAGAAAACATATAACGTCTAACAATAAAAACTTGAAAATAATCAGTATTGATGTAAGAGGCAAATTTAAATTAGATTTTTGAACATTCGATCAAATATTATATTTATTTATATTTATTATTTTAATAATATATATATTTTTAAATATGTAAAAAAATAAATATAAGATTGACTAAATGATTAAAGCGGGAATCTTGGAGTTGTATGTGTTGCGTTGAATTCTCACGTATGTAAATTTTTATTTATATTATTATTTGATAAATATATATATATATTGTATTGTATATAATATAATAATGAAATGCGGATGGGTACGGTGATCGCCGGTAATCTGCGTGTCATGTTTCCATTTGCCATGAAGTGGATCCCACAGAGGGCCCACGTAGGATGCACTGCAATTATCTGGTTTACATATAAGCTAAATACCCCGATAGTTTCCCGTGCTTTTGGTGGATTAAAACTTGGGCCCGGGTGGGATGTGTGTGGAAGCTCACGTGTGAATCGACAAGGAGGTAGCGTTCGCAGGTGCGGGGCGGGGTGAGTTTATTTTCGCCTCGGTTCTTGATCTCTCTGTGTCTCTCGGATCACCTCATTCGTACCTGGTTCTCGATCGCCCACCATGTTCTCGCCGGCGGCGCGCCTGGCGACCAAGCGCCTCTTGGAGATCCGCCGAGCGCTGCGCCCTTCGCTCGCGGTAAGGGGATTCTTCTCCGATTTCATCTTCCACATCGTTCATTTGCTCGATCTCTCATCTCTTTTCCGCCTTCCAGCTCACTTCGCCCGCTGTCGCCGCCAGATCCTTGTCCACGGCCCTCAACTACGTGAGCTCCCTCGAAACGCTCGAATATTCGATAAATTTGTTTTCTTTTTCTTCGGATCCCGTTGGGTTTGACTTAAACTTGTCCAAGTTGTGATCTTTTTGTTATCGTTTTGTCAGCACATTGATTCGCCGGATAACAATCCTGACAAGCCATGGGAGTTCAGCGAAGCAAATATGAAAAGGGTACTCCGTTTTTGTCCGTTAGTTGGGTTGCTGTTCTTGATTTCAATTCTTCGTTTTCTTGGTTCGCTTCTTGGAGTTGTTGTTCCTTCTTTGAACAAATGTGGTGATTTGGGTAGCATTGTTCGCGAATAAAAATGATCTTGAGTGGAATTCACATCTTTGTTATTATTATTTGTAGGTTTCCCTATTGTTTTGTGTACTGTAGAATTGCTTATCATGATCATGTACACTTATGGCCGCTCGAGAGTTTTATCTATCATCTTCTTTTCCTGAAAAAGCATAAATGGATATGTCTTGTTGAGATACGCTGTTTAATGCCTCAGGTCACCTCTGTGGAGCTTTATAATTGTGATTTGTTATTCAGTTTTAAGAATACTTACTCATTTAGACAAGTCCATGCTGTCATTTTTGGTATTTTAAGCTATCAAATGGTTGATTTTCTTGCCCATGTGTAACTCTAGGTCAAAGAGATACTCTCCCACTATCCTTCAAACTACAAGCAATCTGCTGTTATTCCGCTACTGGACCTCGCCCAGCAGCAACATGGTGGATGGTTACCAGTTTCTGCAATGAATGCTGTATGGTCGAAACGATTCCTTACCCGTTTATAGGGCTTTGTTAAGTTCGTAGCTTTACATACCTTAACTTACATATCTTGATGCGGTGTTGTTCAGACTGTTAAATATTTTGTTTACTTGTGGTAAGTGCTATTAATACATGAATCTATTATAGCCATGTTTTTCCTCTTTCTCTGTGCCATATCTGTCAAAAGATCTCATACAAGTTTGAATTCAGATTTGCATTTTAGTAAAATCTGCTAATTGTTAATGAGGGGGCTGGCTAGGTTAGGAAATATTTGATGTACAAAATTAAACTATGAAATTAGAAGACCTTGTAAATTGGGAGGAAATACCTGAATCCTGAAATCCTCATTTTTTCTGTTTTTGTGGAAGAAGAAGAATTGAGCCGATCAAATTTGATTCTATGAAGAGGATGGAGCAAGGTTAACCAAGGATCCAGGGAGCTGCATTTGATTTGCTAGAATTGAAATACCTCCCTTGATGTGGATCTCAAGTCTCCCACCTCTTCTACACAATGTAGACACTATGAAGAGCCTGTAAAAGGTCAATTTTAATACTTCAGTAGAACCTTTACTTGTAATCTAGTGTCATAGCTTACACTCATCTGGTACCCCTCCTAAACCTTTTGTTTACTTAAGAGGATGATTGGAGTGCGTGACTCCACCTATAGAAATGCTTGGGCCAAAGTCATTGGTCTGGAAGGACCCTGGAAAGTTTTCAAGATGTCGGGAGCCAATGAGAGGCCAACTTCTGGTTGTTACCCCAGATATATCTTAACTATGGGCCATAGGTTAGCTTATCAGTAAATTACTCAATATTCACCTTAACTCTTCTATTGATTAAAGTCAGATCATTCACATTATAATGATTGTGAAGCCCATTAAATTTTTGGCAATATGACATTTATCTGTAGTTTTTTTTGGATATGACTTGAGTGAAGGGATCATATCTTTATTGTACATTTTCGCTCTCTTTCTAGATTGAAAATAATTCTCTATGCTTATTTGAGAGAGCTATAAAAATATTTACTAGCTTCTGAGAACTGATTCAATTTGAACTGATTGTTACTGCTTGATAATTGAATAGGACAGACATTTTTCTCTGTTTCCAGCTCATGAGAAAGCTTTTGGGTTTGAATTTATGCAGGATTTAGTTCATTCAGTTCTGTAAAACAATCCAATGATCAGCTCTATTCACTCTTTCACTTGTAATCT